GCAGTGGCGCTCCCGCCGAGGGTTCGGATCCCACATACAGACCGGTTCCCGCTCACTGGCTGAGCGAGGTGCGGGCGCGACACCGAGGGTTGCGATCCCGTTGCCGGTCCCGGTCCGGTACAGGAGCAACACTGAGGGTTGCGATCTGTTGCCGGACACGAAAAAAGACAAAAAAAAAAAGGAAAAAAATAAATAAATAAAAATAAAAAAATAAAAAAATAAAAACAGCTTTCCCCTCATTGGATATGTTTAGCATTATCTTAAACAATTCATATGTACTTGTAGTGTATAATAAAAAGAAGAAATAAATTTCTTGACATCAGATGTTAACCTATTACCTATGTTCTGATGATTAAGAAATTTATATTTTCAATTTAACATCCAGTAGTAGTTTTAAAGTACAAAGTGGGAGAACATATTGAGCAAAACTGATAGCTGAGGATAAAAACGGCAATACAAACATTTAAAGGGTATAAAGAAGAGCTATGGAAATATGTAAGGAGGAGTTATCAATGTCAATGCTGGATAGAGCCTACAGAAGGAAAGAGTTCAAGTGTCTAGTGGACCTCTATTTTCATACAATCCATCTTATCATTCATGATATACTGTTGTCAACTACTCTTTCACTCGCCAGATTTGGACTTATGTTCATCAGCTGACAAAAGAAACTTGTGTTATCACTTAGGGAAGCTGCCTGCCAACCAACAGTTCGGTTTTAGCTCGGTTATCAAGATACACATATTTACTTTAAACAAATCACTAGAATTTCATAAATCAAAAAGAAAAAATCTGAAAAATAAAAGTGTTATTACCAATGATTAGTATAAGTCTCAAACGTAATACAATTATAGCAAATGTGCAAACAGGCAAGCCAAAAATGGTTCATAAGACTTAAAACCAGTACACCATATGTTTAGGAAGAAAAAGAAAATACCAATAAATATCTATGAGATGTTGGGGAGAGAAAATTGACATGGTCTAAAGGCAAGGGGTAATAGGCAATCTTATAATTTTTTAAACTCTCTAGAAATAAAGCCCTTCCATTATAACACAAAGGCCTATTGACTAACTTCAGCATATTTAGCATATTTCCTAACTACTTTCTGGTATCTCGTTATATGTAAAGGAAGGGCCTATATTAGATCTACCAATTAGGAAGTCATTAATGACATTAGCAAAAACAGTTTCAATGTAATGGCTGGAAGAGAAGCCTTTCTACAGTGGACAAAGGAAATAATAAGTAAGGAAGTAGATAACTGAGAATAGTTTCTCACTTTAAAAATCTCTGTTAAATAATGAAGTAAAAAATTATGGTGGTAACCTGAAGGAAGTACAATATTAAAATAGGATATCTGAATACATTTTAAAGACTGAACATAAGGAACATGTGGAGAAAGTAAGGCTGAAGTCATGGGAAGGTGAGATAAAAGAGTTTTACCCCTTGAAGCAGGAAATGAGGTAATTTCCTAATTTGGGTAAGGCAGAAAATGAGGCAGAAGTTTGACTCTGGGAACTGGAGAGGTCAGCTTCCCAAGGATAAAAGATTAAAAGAAGGTATAATTTTGCTAATATTTTAAAGAATGAGCTGGGTTTATTATGTGGAAAGTCTTCCTAGAGATATCTAACCTGAATTAGCATATGTTCTCCATTAAAATGCTAAAGTAGGCCAGAGGATAATCATTCCATAAAAGTGAGACTGAATGTTCCTGTAACTTTAAAATGGAGGTCCACCCCAACTTTTCCAGAATATCTGAACTATCCCTGAGGCTTCTGTCTAGCCATCACAGTCTCCTGTGTAGGGGTTCTGAAAGGGACAATTCTGAGATGAGTTGCCTCTTTGGGTCTCTAGTACACCGTGATTTTTTTAGAGCAAATAGTCTCAAAAGAAGAATACCTGAAATATTTAGTGCATATTCAAATACTCTTATTACCCTAGGCAATGTGACTTCAGTTATAAAACAGATAAAATCAGCCAGCTGTCAAAAAAAAAAGCACCAAAAAACAAACAGGAAAAAATCCAGATAAAAAACCAAAAACAATTCACCAGCTGGAATACAGTAATTTTTAAATGCTAACAAATCTGAGCTTTCCAAGGTAAGACAGGCAATAAAAAGCTCATAATATGATTTGGTTAATGATGGGTTTACTTATCATCAATTAAAACTCTCACTTCAGAAGTTGAAGAATGGATTTCTTAGATTTACCTATAAAAGCAAACTTAAATAAAACCCAGCTTCCAATTTAAAGAAATTGTTTTTGGCTTGATTTTCAGTTCAGCAATATTACCTCAGTAAAAATGTTATGGGGCAGGCATACACTGGTCACACAGAAAATTTACCTGAACCTAATATCAGAATAGAGTAACAAAGCAGTTATGAACAAAACCCAGGTAGCCAAGTTACAAGACAGTCTGTTTGATAAAAAGGTCAAATGAAGCAAAGATAAAGGGTTTCTTTAATCCCCCTTACAAGCAATAAAATCTTCAAAACATGCACAAGATAAAAATAAAACTCCAAGAAAGCTAATGGTTATCATCTGGAAGTTCTGACACAGATAAGGAGGGAATGTTTCCTCTAGTGAAATAAGAGTTTCCTTTATTTATGGTCAATACACATTACACAGACACAGACACACACACACACACACACACACACACACACACTCACTTACAATGTCAATTACCCATAAATAGACATCAGTACTTCAGTTATCCTTACCTAAGACCTGGTAGTGTTCTTTCTCCTTTGTGAGCTGTTGGTTTACTGCCTCAAGCAATTGCTGTAACTGTGTTACAGTCTGATTTAGACTTACAGACATTGTCTCCTTCTCAGAAGACTCCTGAAAAGAAGACAGAAGCAATGAAAAATTCCAAATACAAGGACAAAAACAGAAAATATTTTATTATTGTTTTAAATACAAACCTGAATCAACAACAGCAAAAACCACGTAGAGAATAATACTTGCTAACTAGTGGTGCAAACTGGTTGGCACTAAAGAAAACTATGTTATAAATATAGTCACTTGGCCACAAAAGGAAAAGTCTAGAATCTATGAATATTAGAAATAAATCCATTTTTCCTTTCAGAAAAAAAATCTTGCCCAGCAAAGGAGAGCACATTCATAATAGTAAAAATAACAGTTAACATATATCGAGCTCTTATTAAGTGCCAGGCCCTGTTATAACTGCAACCAACTATTCTAAGTGTTTTATATATTAACTCATCAAACCCCCCCAAGATAGAATATTATCACTGCCTTTTATATTTATAGATGGGGCAACTAAAACACAGAGCAGCTAAGATTGCCCATGGTCACACAGCTAAGAAGAAAGGCCGGAATTCAAACATAGGCCATCTATCTCCAGAGTCTACACTCATAATAAACAGTACACCACAATATGTGTGAACACTAACCTTAAAATTAATATAACATCTCACAAGCTAAAGTGAAAATACACATCAATAAAAACACTGCATTTTAGAGATAGGATATTTTGAAAACAGGATGACCTTCAGATAGGAGTACAACATAACTGATAGTAGCACATTTTTCTAGACAGACATGGATCTTGTATGTTTTTATTCTTCACATTAGCATACAAGGTAATTTAGCACAGAGATTTGGAGTTAAAGAAAATACATACTGTTTCTAGGGAAACATCACTATTCTCAATAACAGTAGTGTCTCCAGCAGCTTTTACTATTTTTGACTGGATAAGATCCAGTGACTGTTGAGCCTGTAATAAAAGCAATATGGTAGCTACTAAATAATACAACTGATAAATACATACAAACAAGATGCGTGATTTTGTTACATATTTTGTACAAGATTAAAGCACCTCTCAAAATACAGTGTAAAGTTTTTTCCTCCAAAATGAAAATAGTTTCATCCCTCGCCAGATTATAAGAACATGTACTCACTGTTTTAAAGTTCAAACAATACAGAAACTGTAAAAAGAAATTAAAAATAGAAATAACCACAGCTGATAGTTAGGTTCATATTATTCTAGAGTAGGGGTCAACCAAAATCTGGCCCACAGCCTGTTTTTGTCCAGCTTACAAGCTACAAACGGTTTTTAAATTTTTAAAGGATTATGTTAAAAGAAAGCAACAAAGAAGAATATTCAAGAGAGAGAATACATGGCCCACTAACCCTAAAACGGGATTTGCTGACCCATAGTCTAGATCCCTCTCTGTGCATATTATATGCTTACAGAAAACTGGCAGAAATTTTTATATAAATGGGCTTTAACAAACATGTCGTTTTATATTTATCTGTTTTACAAAGTATTTTGTTAACTTTTTTCAGTCAATAAATATTTACATGCATTTCCAACTGAGTGTTGCACAATATTTCCATTGCATAGATATGGGACAGTTAACTATCACCTATAATTCCTATTTAGGCATCATAAATAACATGGAATGTGTGTATCTTTGAAGACCTGTTTAATATCCTTAAAGTACTTTCTGAGAAACTACATTCCTAGGCTAAAATTGCATGTTCTATATTTTGATCCAGAGGTCAGTAATTAAAAACCATGCATCACGTAAACTGACTGCTCAATCTTGACAGTGTACCATAATATCTAGGTTTGTGCTCTAAAACAAATTTCCTAAGTTCATATTTTATCTACATTAAAATAATGTGAAGTACTTCTAGATTCCTAGACATATGCAGAAGCATACCAATTTTAAGCTATAAGCATACAGAACCAACAAAAATATTTCTCTCAGTTTTTTAAAATGTAACATTTTTTTAAAGAAGATATTTTTAAAAAATCTATTAGAATATCAAATATTTAAATGTTTAACAGTATCCAATATTGATGAGGGTACAGGGAAAGAGGTACTCTCATACTCTCATCAAAATACTACTGAATTTTGGAGGATTCAACTTACAAAACCTATCAAAAGTTAAGATGTGCATACCCCTTGATCCTGCAATTCCAAAAAAAAAAAAAAAGTGACACATTTAATTATTTTGTTAATGACTATCTCTCCCATAGGTCTAAAGCAACCTTGCTATAAGCATATATAAATTATACTATTAAAAATATCAAAACAGAATTACTAATAACCTGTCAATCAAATACAAAGAATAAAAAGTGCAATCCTGAAAATCACTCATTATATATGAGATAAGGAAAAATGTATCGATAAAAAATAAATAAATAAATGGAAGGAACAAACTTCTGAAACACCAGTTTATACATCTTTTAGTTTTAAAGATCAACAGAAATGTACTTTGTAAATGATTACACAGTCAAATCCCAATTTAAAAAGAATAGATGGATGTAACCAAATTTTTAAAAATAACAGATTAAATTAAATTTTTACTCTATACTTTATAAAGTAATCAATTATATAAATGTGATGAAATGAAGCAAATTAAGAATGAAAAAACAAGTCAAAAAGTTTAGTTTCAAAAAAGTAACTGTATAACAAACAGCTTAATTTTTTTTTTTCCTTTTTGTCTTTTTTCGTGACCGGCAACGGATCGCAACCCTCAGTGTCACGCCCGTACCGGACCGGGACCGGCAACGGGATCGCAACCCTCGGTGTTGCGCCCGCACCTCGCTCAGCCAGTGAGCGGCCGGTCTGTATGTGGGATCCGAACCCTCGGCGGGAGTGCCGCCGCGCTCCCAAGCGGCGCACTGTAGCAGTGCGCCACCGGGCCGGCCCCACAAACAGCTTAAATTTAAAACAAGTTAACAAAATGATGCAAAAGAACAAATCCAGAATTAGCAGTGTGTTCGCTTAAGGTTCAAGACACAACACTGGCTCAGGATACAGCATCTGCAGGACAAACAGTGTCTTACCTTATGCAAATCACCAGCTACTTTCTGTCTTTCACTTTGTTCAGTTCTAAGTTTTGTCAGTGTTTCATTCAACTGTGCCTTCAACTGTAAAACCAAAGGAACACCAGGATTAACTTAATTTGCATCCTTATTTGATTATGCTGATACCTCTAGGACTGAAGAATGAATGAGAAAGAATGGGACTGCTAACAGTTATTATGCACAGTAGATTAGCCAATATGCTGCACCAGATGTATAGAAAAGCTAAGCAGTGGAGGTTTCCATCTGTAAAGCTAAACATAAGAAAAGCTACAGAAATGAACTAGAGCTTAGAATAGAAAACTGCAAATGCAAAAAACCCCATCAAATTCCAGTAAAGTGCCTTTTAAAAGTATCACTATTCACAAAGTAGTTATTAAAATTATTCCAAATTAAAAGACAAGTAGAAATTTTACCAATTAGTTTTTAAAGGCTTTCTTAATCTATATGGTTCAATTAAAAAGAGTCAATTGTGTAATATTTTAAAAGACATTGAATAGAAGATTATAAATCAAGTAAAATGAAAACTACAAAAATTTAAATGTTGATCATACTTTAAGACTTCACTAAAGAAAGCAGTGCAAGACCACACTGGCCTAAGTTATACCAACAAGAAATGTCTTAAGATATACTACTCAATAACCAACTTGTCAAAAGTTATAAAACCCCAGTGCCAATACATAATGCTGCTTTCTCTGACAAAGGTTCTGATTAAATATGAAAAAGGGAAATGTTCTATATTGCAAAAAAAAAAATAAACTTTCTTATTAAACTCATCAACTGTTTTTTGCCTCCCACCCACAGGCATAACTTTCCAAATAGTTCTGGAAACTCAAATGGGGGAAACATAAGACACTCACATTTAAAATTGGAGGGAAAATTAACGGGGGGCATTTCACTTGGAAATTTTATTTGGGAAACTCTATTTAAATACCCAAATAGTTTCTGCTCCTTAATTCTGAGTTTAATACTCTACACATCAGAGAAGTTAATGGTTTTGCCCAAGAATACACAAAGTATGTATAGGCAAACATAATTATTTTATCTTAAAATGTGGCAACAGTTATCCTGAGCAAAGAAAGAAAGAAAGTAAATACCACTCAAAATGGTCTCTTGACAGAAGTAGAAGAGCAAAAAAATACAAAGAGAGTATCAGGCTGAATGGAGATGCAACCAAAATCCTGTGGCTTTGATGTTACTCTTAAGTCAGCCAGTGAGCACCAAAGGTAAAAAAATAAAATCTCCGACAACTGGTTAGAAATGATTTTTTAAAAAATACATTACAGGGTAAGGGCTTATAGCCATGGCATATCACAGTCCTGATCAGTAAAACATCCAGCAAATGCATTCTTAGAACTAGTCTTACATTGCAGTGGGAATGAGTTCAATTGAAGTAAAACACTGGTAAATAAAACAAATATTTCTTAAGAGGTGTGTGTGGGTGCGTAAGGCTCTATGTGTATATCTTATAATAGCCCTACTCTGAAAATTGACTCCCATAAATCACTACCAAAAGGTAGAAGACCAACCATAAATGAATGAATTAAGAAGTTTTCTTTGATACATGTATTAGTTCTAATGAGAACATTTCAAACTGGGCCGGATTAGCTTTGGGTAAGAAGAAAACTTAATGTAATCTCTCTAAAGTTTATTCAGGTATTTTTGGAATACAGGGTACCATATGTCTTAAGACACTTATCTAACTCTATCTCTAAGTCTATAATTTTAGGATTACTGTGTTCTAAACAATATGTTGATGACAGACAATTTTAGAAGATTTTTGTTATATGTAATTTATAGAAAGACAATTAAAAAAAGAAACTGATTGGATTACTGCCGTTGAATGAAGAGTTATATATCTTTAACCTTCAATAATTTTCTCCCAGGTTAGAAAGTAAGAAGCCCAGTTAACTAAGACAGTCTGAGAAGATAATCTTCACAACTCAGGCAATCATTGTTTTGTTTCTTTATTCAGCGAAAATAATGCTGTTTGAGAAATTAGGCTTTGTCAAATACTGAAAATTTTGGAAAAGAGCTGGAAGCCAAACATGCCATTGTTAGGAGCTAAGAAAAGAAGGATCATCATAGGAATCAAGAAAAGAAAGAACACCTTAGGAGTCATCAGAATATAAAGATTATCTTAAACTTACAAAAATGCCAAGCTAAAGATGTTAGCAAGGAAAAAAAAAGTTTGGATGGTTTCTCCACATGTCAACACAAGTGTTTTCAGAGCCTACTTGATACCCAGTGGAGAACAAGCTTCTTACCAAATTTAGCTCTTCATTCTGTCTTACTGCTTCAGAATATGAATCATCAAGTTTTTTCTGCAATTCAGTCAACAGATCTTTCAGCTGCAATGAAGTTTAGAGTTTAAGATTGATCTCCTTATGATATCCCATGTTTTGTTTGCTACTTGGAAGCTCTGCCACAAACAACTTGTACTGAAATACTTTATCACTCTGTTATAAATTTAATTTGAATTGAGAAGCAAGATTGAAAAAATTCTGTTGTAAATACCTCTCTGACTTCTGTAACATAGGTAGATCGTTCAATTTCTGCCTTCTCTAGTTCCATTTCCAAATGCTCTCGTTCTCTTCTCAACTAGCAATGCAACAAGGAAGGAAAAGTTAACACACTTAAGATTTCCTTTCATAATGTTTCCCCACTATGGAAAGTTATGACTTATAAATATAAAACTATATCAAGTCAAAGACTACCTAAGACATTAAGAGCGTAACTGTATTAGATAAAAATAATCTTAAAACACAGATCTTCAGACAACGCTGAATACTAAAAGTGAGTCCCTAGATCACAAGTCAAAGATCAAATAACATACATTTTCAACATCTTTATTTTCTCTTCTTAATCGCTCTAGCTCTTGTTCTGAAGACATGAATGACAACTGCATCTGAAATGTGAAACAATTATACGACCAAGTAAAACAGCAAGAATACAGAGGTTTTTACTTTATAGAATTTTGAATCAATTAAAAGAAACTTCATCAATCTTAAAATGGATCTAATTTAAAGTCATACTGAATTTTAAAATATGTAAAAAGTAAGAGTCACTTTCAACTTGATTTAAATTTTGGTCAAAACCTACTCCATTTGTGTGATACTATATAGTAAGCCCAACTAAAAGTGCTTAATTTTGTTATTAGCAATTAACTGATAATCAGCTGTATTTAGTCCCCAAATACATTAACATACAATACCATCAGCAATCCTAAATTCTGCACATGTTGACCAAAGACATTAAGTAACAGATGGCACTCTTTACCACACCCAAGTAAATGGGAGAAAGATTAAGACTACACAGTATCATTTAGACTCTATGAAGAGAAGAGTAGCTTATTAACTTTCTCTTGAATACTATATCATGGGTTAAACATCAATATTTTAAAACTAGTTTTGAACCCAGAATTCCTTACCTTATGTCCTCACATAGTAGTTCTATAACTTCCAAAGTACTTTACATTCTACATCATTACCCTTTAGTCATACTCTAAACCAGTGGTTTTCAAACTTGGGTGGGCATCAGAATCACTGGAAGGCTCACACAGATTAAAACAAAGATTGCTGACGCCCCAAAACACGTTTCAGATTCAGTAAGTCTGGGGTGGAGCCCCAAAATGTGCATTTCTCACATATTCCTAGGTGATGCTGATGCTGCTGGTCCAGGCCCCACACTTTGATAACCATTGCTCTAAACTCTTCTTTTTTAAATACCTGTTTAATAGTCTTTTGTGACTCATCAACTTTAACTTTCCATTTATTTTCTTCTTGCTCCACACTTCTCTGCAGCTTCTGTAAAATTCCTTCCTATAGACAGAAGTACAGTTGTTTTGAAAAATTCATGTTCTAATACCAAGATAAGCTATTCAGGCCATGAAGATAAGTTAACGATTTGAAAATAAAAACGTAGATTAAAAATCATTTCCTACTGTTTCTGCAAGGACGGATTTATATTTTTCACACTCTAGCTGTAACAATGTGTGCATTTCATCAGCTTCTTTCAACTTGTGCTCCAGAATCTGTAAAGAATGAAATAGAGAAAAATCCTCTAATTTTACCAGAAAGTTTTGTGCTTTAAATAAACTTAATGGTATATTATGATTAATGGTTTCCAACTGTTTTATAATGAAACACTACGTTTCAACCTTTCTAAGTAGCAATGAAGTTCAATGACCTTTTTGGCCATTTGATTTTCACTAATAAAACTCTTTAAGTCTGCTTACTAAAAAATATATTTCACAACTCAATAATAAGTAGGCTTGCTGCTCTTTAGCTAGATGGCAAAATCAAAGCAGACTCACATGTGAAGGTCACAATGGCTGTGCTACACACATGGAAAATGGAATTTTATTCATGTCACTTGAGATACAAGAAAATGACAATAAATCACCCCCACCCCAATTTCAATAACCGAGGATAAAAACAAATCCCGTTCCTGAATACTCCTAATGATTTATCTCGGGATCCTTCAGCAAACCAATTAGATTCTACCTACCTATCTCAAATGATTTTTTTTTTTTTTTTTTGGCAGCTGGTCAGTACGGAGGATCTGAACCATTGACCTCAGTCTTATTACACTGCACTCTAACCAACTGAGCTAACCATCCAGCCCTTATCTTTACTTTTTTAAACCAGGCTAAAAAGAGAGTAAGAGAGAATTAAATATTCAGTATGGCAAATGTTAGCTTTGTACAAAAATCAAATGCAAGGAAGATCAACAGTATTTCCAATAAAATTTATACAAAATGAAATCACCTTCTTACACTTTCTCAAAAGATCATTATTCTACCAGTAATATATCCCTTATCTTCCTCAAGCTCATGAAGACAAATTCTGATTTACACCTTTTTTCTACGTTTGGTTAAAATACAGATAGTTCACTTTTTGAACTAACCTTAACTTCCTCCGAACCTGAAGTTCCAGCCACACATTCTTTTGCCTTCTTTTCAAATCCATGCAACCATTCACTATAACTCTGTGGGAGAGAAAAGTCAAAATCGTCAGTTTCCAAAAAAAAAATCTGAATAAGATTGATCAAACTTTTCAAAGAAACCTACAGAGACAAACACCACTCAGCAAGAAATTTCAAAGAGGGATATAAATGTTGCATAAGTTGAACATGACCCAGTCTTGAAAATAAACACTAAAAATATACCTATGAGCTACCATCAAATAAAATCTTATAACATGACCAAGAATATTTTGCAACTGAATTCTGGAATCACAGGTAGAAGACATGGGCTCAAATCTGGCCTTCTATCACTTACTAACATCAGGACTAGTAAACTCAATCTTTAAAAGACAAAAAACCCAGCATAAGTAATTTTTTAAAACCTTTTCTCAGGTAAAATAGTTCTTGAAAACTAAGTATTTTGAGTTCATAAACTTAAAGTTTAACTGAAGATCTACTCAGAGGATTTCAAATTCTATGAAGGTGGCTTCAGAGATTCTGAAAAATACTTCAAATTAAGAAATATGTATTATGAAGTATTTTAAAAATCATAATGAGAAATGATATGCACACACATTTACTTGTTTAAATCCAACAAAAACTCGATTTGTGCTGACAGGTTGGCTGATGTAAATAATGCCTACATTATAGTTTTAGCCATTATTCTAAACTTCAGAATAAGTTACTCTAAATTTTTGATGGTATTTATCTAAATTTTAAACTTATTTCTTAGATACTTTAGATGAAATTTCCTCTTATTCCTCATCTTTGGTTTAGAAAAGAGAACTTTCATGAAATTACTATTAACTGCTATAATAGAAAGCTTTATGTGGCTGAATTAGGATTCCCTATAAACTATCAAATAAGAATAAAAAATAAAAGTGGATGCTGAGATCACCACATAGCACAATATCATTAATATCAAATTAGTTTTAAAAGCCTCTCCATTTAAAAAGTGTATTCTCAGATTATAAGTTTGAACCAAGACTAAATTTATACTATTAAAATCCTCCTTAACAGCTTCAAATATTGGAATCCAACATAAATTAAAATCAGATGAAAGGCTGACTTAGTTGCTTAGTTTGTAAACCTCCCTCCAGTTCATATACTTTAGATCTCTTCTGTGCTGATTTGCTTAGCAAAAAAGCAACAAACAACAAAAAAATTATATCATATATAAAAGCCCTTCTATATCCATTATGTTAATTTAAATGAAGTTTATTGCTTTCTTATCTTATAAAGTAAATAGTTTATTATTCTCATATCTTTAAAAATCTAAAATGTTAGACTCTAAGTAGCACATAGAAAGTTTAACATATTTCTTAAATATAGACTACATACAGAAATATTCAACTTTTAACAAGTGTATGAAGAAAAACCAAATAATATCAGCCACTTCTTATGGTAATTTATAAATATTAATAGTGTCAAAAGATGGTTATTGAGGGTGGGTAGTATTGCTGTTAAGAATGAATTTTTTTTACATTAAAAAGAAAACTTTTACTAGTGATGATCTTACATTCAACTTAGGAATAAATCTGTGAAGAACAGAAATGATCAATCATTAACTCTCTTATTTCCATTAATAAAATATAAAGTAGAAATAAACAAAAATAGGTTATGGCCACATAGGAAAAAATACAAAATATATTGAAAGCAACCCCTTCTCCTAGGTTCAATGTAAGAACAGCACTAGAACTGACAGTATATCTACCTGTGTATTCAGTGCAAGATATTTCATTAGTTCAACTCAAAGTGGTAGAGAGTTATTTAAACTGATCAAACCCGAATGTATCCCTCAATATTTACAATGAAGACAAAAGAATTATAATCTAAAAGAGCAAGTAGCTACACATAGAGCAGGTCATTAAGTTTACTTACATCACCCTAGCACTCACATCTAGAGGAGTAGAGCTCCTTGGGGAAACAGTTGATTACAGGTTTGGGGCAAGAACTGTATACAATAAATCAGGATCATCTTCTCATACCACAAAGCATAGAGGCTATCAAAGCTCAGCAGTGTTACATAAAAAGGATTCAGTAGCCAGCCTAAATAATCTCCAAAGACAGACAAGCAGGCATTACAGACCTCCTGATAGAAGTGCATAATGTCACCTATGAAGTGGTCTTGTCCCCACCCCACACCCAAAATACTCAGACTGGATCTGACCAGGCCTCTACTGACTACCAATTTATGGAATACACAAAGGACAGAGGAACATGCTGACACCACAGGGATGTAGTCAGCTAAACCCAAACTGTGGGCAATTTCATAGGAAAATGACCAGGTTTAAAAAAAACAATTGGGGGGGGGGGCAGTTTGGTGGTGAGAAAGAGAGGGGAACAAGTAGAAGAAAAAAGAAGATCTAAGAGACATCTAAAACCAGTCATGTGTTGACCTTATTTGAGTCCTGATTAAAACAAACTAGAGAGCATGCACAGGGTTCTAGGCAGGAGCTAAGGGCAGCTCCCTCTACCTGGAAGCAGGCAAGAAGCAGAGCACACCCAGGTCCTAGGCAGGAGCTGAGGGCAGCATCCCCCACCCAGAAGCAGGCAAAGAGCACACTGAAAACACCACTTCCACACAGGTGGCCCACCACGGCCACGACTGCCGCAAAAGCAGCTCGACACCACAGCAATAGCTACAGCCACTGTGTAGGCAGCACTGACACAAGAAGGGTCACCAGCAGAGACCAGAAAAAGAAGAGGACATCTCTCTTCTCAAAGCCCACTCCAAAGTAACAGAAGAAGCAACTGCTCTACCAGATGACCAGACATCAACATAGAGATACTGGAAGTATAAAAACCTAAGAAAATATGACACCACCAAAAGAATACAGTAATTCTCAAACATCAGACCCTATAAAGCAGGAAACCCTTGAAATGACTGAACAGGGATCCCGAGCAACAATCTTTTTTTTTTTTTCCTTTTTGTCTTTTTTCGTGACCGGCAACGGATCGCAACCTTCAGTGTTGCGCCCGTACCGGACCGGGACCGGCCACGGGATCGCAACCCTCGGTGTTGCGCCCGCACCTCGCTCAGCCAGTGAGTGGCCGGTCTGTATGTGGGATCCGAACCCTCGGCGGGAGTGCCTCAACGCTCCCAAGCGGCGCACTGTAGCTGTGCACCACCGGGCCAGCCCGCCGAGCAACAATCTTAAGGAAACTAAGTTACAAGAAGACTCAGTTAGACAACATAATGAAACAAGAAAAAAAAAAAATTCAGGACTTGAAAAAGGAACTTTATAAAGAGATTATTAATACCTTTAAAAAGAATGTAGCAGAACTCATGGAACTGAAAGACTCACACAATGAAATAACACGACTAAGAGCTTAAGCAGCAGGCTAAAATAAGCAGAAGAAAGAATCTCTGATCTTGAAGAAAGTCTTTTCAAAATAACCCAGGTAGACAAAAGAAAAGGAAAGAAGAATTCTAAAAAATGAAGAAAATCCAAAAGAGCTAGCAGACAACCTTAAGCACACAAATACTTGAATCATGGGTGTTCCAGAAGTGTAGGAAAAAGGAAAAGGCATGGAAAATACTTGAATCATGGGTGTTCCAGAAGTGTAGGAAAAAGGAAAAGGCATGGAAAACCTATTCAACAAAATAATAACAGAAAACTTCCCAAGTATAGGGAGAGTCATGGACACTCAGATTCAGGAGGCTCAAAGATCCCCAGATTCAACCCAAAAAGATATTCTCCAAGATACATTACAGTCAAATTAGCCAAGCTCAAAGACAAAGAGAATTTTAAAAGAAGCAAGGGAAAAGTGTCAAGTCCCTATAAGGGAGCCCCTATCAGACTAACAGTAGACTTCCCAACAGAAACTCTACAGTCCAGAAGAAAATAGGATAATATATTCAAAATACTAAGAGAAAAAAACTACCAGCCAAGAGTACTATACCCAGCAAGGCTATCCTTCAGAAATGAGGGGAAAATAGTGCATTTTCCAGAAAAACAAAAACTGTGGGAGTTCACCACCACACAACCAGCCCTACAAGAAATCCTCAAGGAAGTCCTGCATCCAGAATCTGAAAAATAATAAATCACTACCCTGAATACACAAGAACAAAACCCACTGGTAGAACAAAAATGCAAACAAGAAAGAGAAAGAAACTAAATCTCACCAAAAAACCTTAATGACAATATAATAATGCCCCTGTTTTATTTCTGATTTTAGTAATTTCAGTCTTCTCTCTTTTCTTCTTGGTTAGTCTAAATAACGTTTGCAAATTTTGTTGATCTTTTTAAAGAATCAACTTTTGATTTTGTTGATTTTCTCTATTGTTTTTTAATTCCCTATTTCATATATTTCTGCTGTAATCTTTGATTTTGGTTTAGTTTGGTCTTCTTTTTCTATTTTCTTAAGGTAGAAGTTTACATTACTAATTTGAGATTTTTCTTACTTTTATTTTCCTCTAAGCACTGCATGAGCCCTGTACCCTATAAATTTTGATGTTGCACTTTTTTATTTCAAAGTACTAATTTCCCTGTGATTTTTCTTTTAACCCATTGTTTAATTTCCACACATTTGTGAATTTTCTAAACTTCCTCTGTTATTGTGGTCAGAGAACATATTTTCTATGATCTTACTCCTCTTAAATGTATTAAGACTTGTTCTGTGACAAAAAAAAAGGTTATTATCTGATTAAAATAGACAATTTATATAACAATTGCAGAAATGCAAACATTGACTAGATATACAAAATTAAGAACTTTTTTTAATGTAATAGTATTTTTTAGGGAATTCTTATCTTTTAGAAATAAGTATTAAAATATTTACAGATGAAAACTCTTGATGTTTGAGTTCCTATAAAATAATCTAGGAAGTGCAGGGTAGGAGGTAAAACGGTATTGTTTATGTATTGATAAATGCCATCCACTGCTCATTGCTGAAGAAGGAAATAGGGTATACTGGGCTCATTATGCTATTCTCTCTCCTTTTGAAGATGTACACAATTTTCCATTAAAATTTTAAAAAGACTTATACCACCATTTTAGGAAACTCACATGCACACTCATTGGCCTTCTCTGTCCTCAAACATTTACTGTATTAATTCTCTGAACCAAAGTAACTTTTTTCTCCCACTTAAAACATGTACAACCTCAGGAAAAGCAAACTGTTCTATATTATCTTCAAGACTTTTGCTTGAAGAATAGACAGACAAAATCCTGAGTTTTGAAATATAGAGAGCCTGGTTCATACTATCAAATACATTTAACAAATAAAATGTTGCAAAAACTAAGAAGCAACTACTTAAAATTAAGTTCTACTTCAAATAAAGCCATTAAGAACATCATCAGTTTTACCAATCTTTAAGAAACATTCCTTTCCCAAATATGATGTTAATAAATCCTCTAAATAATATGCCTCATATGTAAATTTCATAGAACATAACAAAAGTATGAGGTAAATAGATAGAAATGAATTTTGAACTAAGTTATTGATCTTAACTACTCAAAAGCACCGTAGGTTAATAATGGAAAAGGTTAAGCAATCAGTGCACTATTGAAACAAAGTGTTATTCACAACTTTCTTGTATAATGATAAGATGTCATGTTAAAAAAAATAAATTAGTCTTACCAAATTAGAAGGGACAGACACCTTTGGAAATAATTTTTTGAGAACTTCTTTAGCCTCCAGCTCAACAGCTTCCACATGTTGTTGTCTTTCCTAAAGCAGATAAACCAAATCAAAATTACAAGATTATAGAGTTTTTTTAAAAAAAGAAAGAAAAGAAAAACTATGGTCTTTTAAGCTCTAAGGGAGGAAAAAGTCAATGAAAAAAATTATTTTAATACTGACAAATGTTAAAATTTCCCATTTTAAGATATTAAAATGCTTCCACAAGAAAAAATCTGCAAAATCTCTAAAGCATCCTAAATAGCAAATAATGTCTCATTAACCAAGCCAAAGCAATATCTGATAATATGGACATTTTCCATGGCATTAGAAATAGAGTGATTTTCCTCTCCAGGAACAATTCAAAAAGAAACACACACAAATGCAAAAAGGAGCGCGCAAACACACACACACACACACACACACACACACACACACACACTCTTCCTACAGCTAAAACTTTATAAACTACCTGCACTAAAAAATATGTATGTGAGCAACATAACTAGGGCTTATTGGCTGGTAAATCTTTACAAAAAAATGTATCACTGATGGACTATAATACCATGGGATTAAAATGCCAACTTTCGTATTTCAAGCTTCCAGGTCAGGTGAAACTACTTACACTAAACAAAACAAAAAGGACCATCAACATTTGATGGGTGGTAGAAATGGGAAAAAGGAAAGAAAAGAAAGGAAGATTGATGGCTTATTAGTTCACTAATGTCAAGCATCAAGAAGACTAATTGACACTTCTATATGAACTCCATCAGCTGTAAATTTAAAGGTAAATATTATAAATGTATAAATCTAAATTTGCTGATTTTAAATCCAAATCTAAGGAATATCAGTTATGAACTTAAAACCATGGTTTGTCAAAATTAGAGTAATGACTTAATCACAGGCCAGAAAAAATCTAATGTTCAAAATGTCTCTTTAAGATAAAAAAAAAAGACACCTATAAAAATGCACATCTAAACCAAGCCAAGAAAATCGTACCAAAACAACACTCATGAAGTTCAACAGGTAACAAGAAGGCAAGCAAGCTAGCAACAACTCAACCATACCTTTCCCTCACCATTTATATGTGATCTTGAAATCTATTACTGACTTAAGCTGCATACACTTCAATTTAAGAAACTCTAATTACATGAAAATCTAAATTTGTACAATAAAAAGCTGGAGATTTCATAATATTCTATGCACATGAAAAGTTTTTACTTTACTGAGGATTACTGGCAGTATATCTTTTTTTTTTTTTTTTTTTGTCCTTTTT